GTTCAGCTAGCACTGATTCGTCTCCCCATATGGTGAGCAGACCCCGTACCTCCCGTTCGGTCCATGATGGAGCTCTTTTGCGATCCTGGGACTCCATCATGGTTACCTGTGCTGATGAGCTCTGCGTGGTCACCTGTGCTCTCCACGCTGGGCAAACAGGAAATGAAATTCAAAAGTTTGTGGGGCTTTTCCTGTCTACCTGGTCAGTCCATCTGAGTTGAGAGTGCTGTCCAGAGTGGTCACAATGAAGCACTGTGGGATAGCTCCCGGAGGCCAATAACATCGAATTCCGTTCACACTACCCCAAATCCGACCTGCAAAGGCCGATTTTAGTGCTAATCCCCTCGTCGGAGGTGGAGTAAAGAAACTGGTTTAAAGGGCCCTTTAAGTTGAAAAAAAGGGCTTTGTCGTGTGGACGTGTCCAGGCTTAATTCGATTTAACGCTGCTAAAGTCGACCAAAACTCGTAGTGTAGACCAGGCCTAAGTGCTTCAGAATTGATTCCTTGAAGACCTGATCCATGATTTTTCCAGGCAGACATATTAAAATGTCAACAGATGCTTCACAGTCTGGGTTAGGTGCAATTAGTTTACAGTAGCATGCAAATCATTGGCAACCAGTGGCATACACATCCAAATCACTGACTGGGGTGGATACTAGATATGCACAGATTGATAAAGAGCTTTTAGGAATATTATTTGCCTGTGAGAGATTCAATCAATGTATTTATAGCCAGACAGCAGATATTGAAATGAACTACGAGACTCTATGGCAAACCATAAAATGTCTGTATCTTAAGGATTCAAAGAATGATGATAAAGCTGTGAAAGTATGACTTGGTTGTGATCTACACACCCGCTAACTATATGTTCCCTGAAGATGCACTTTCCAGAGCCCTGGACTACCACTACAAAACCAGAGAAGCCTTTAGAAATAGAGTTGCAAGCCTATGTATATCAGACTGTTAAGTCAATGCCAGGACTGTACAGGAAACTGCAACTAATAAGAGAGGAAATGGAGAGAGATGAATTATTGGTGATCCTTAAAGAAGTGATAATTAAAGGGTGTCCTGGAGACATAAACATTTGCTGTTCAAGAATGAGAGACTATTGGAACTGCAGACATGGACTTACTGTGATAGATGGGGTGATATTCAAGGGCAAGAAGGCTGTAATACCAATGAGCTTCCAGAAAGAAATGCTACAGAAGATCCATGAGGGTCATTTAGGAATTGTGAAGTGCAAACAGTGAGCACAAGAAGTGTTATATTGACCGTGGATCAGTCAAAACATTAAAATGCTTGAAATAGAAGCCATGCCAAGAGGCAGAGCCTCTGAGACCTCACCCAGTTCCACAAAGGCCTTACGAGAAGGTCAGCACTGACTTATTTCCCTGGGAATCAAAGAATTATTTAATAGTCACAAATTATCATTCTCTGTATCCAGAAATTTGCACACTAAATCAGTGATAGCTGGCATGAAGGGAATCTTTTGCAGACATGAAATTCCTGATGAAGTCTTTAGCTGATAATGGGCTGCAGTTTTCCAATGCAGATTTTGAGCAATTTGCCATAGATTGAGATTTTCATCACAAAACATCAAATCCAAATTACCCCCAATTGAATGGACATGTAGAAAGTTCTATGTGGATGGTAAAGAACCTTATGAAAATGATTTTCAATGGTTCTTCTCCAGCTCAACTGTTAATGGGAAAAAGGATCAGATCTAATTTACCAATCACTGATAACTTGCTAAAATCTCATAATAATTAAACCATACAAAAGAGAAAAGAAAATGAGAAGTGGAAGCAGAAATATTATTTTGAGAAAAGGGCCCATGATCTCCCATCTGTTAACCCAGGTGATAGAGTGTGCCTGAAGAATCACATCTCTAATGCATTGGGCCAAAGGATTGCCATTAAAGAACAGCTGCATCCAAGGTTTAAAACCACAGAAACCAAGGGGACACATTTTGGCGTAATAGAAGGGGTCTAAGAGTAATCCCAGAAAGCTCCAAAATATTGACAGTACATGTGGACTCTGGCATTTCCCAATTGACTGATCATTTATCTGCAATGGACAAAGGAGAAACTGGCAAGCAAGAAGAGAACAACTCAGATTATAATGAAGGGCTGATTCTGAGAAAATCATAGAGGGAGATTAAACATCCTGAAAGACTCTGAGACTTGCTAACCTGTCTGGAGAAGGGGTGTTTGAGGAAAGTGAGTGGCAAAGACTCACTCCAGAGTGATGTGGTGGTAACCTCTCATCTCTAGATGGTTAACATGTTGGGATTCTGGAAATTTACTAGACAGGTGGAGAATTTAATGTATGTGTTATTACATAGTTGTTAGTTGTTTACATATGGGTATATAAGAACTGATTTTTTTTTTTTCGGGAGGGAAGATGTAGAGATATGTTTGCGCAAGGCTAATTTAGAGACGCTCACTCATAAAGGTCCGTATTATGAACACAGGAATTTTGAATCATGCCTGGTAGCTGGGTGAAGAACAGTGTTGCTGTGCCCAGCAGTTCACCACAGACACTGTCTAATTTGTTTGTAATAAATGTTTTATTCCTTTCTCACTCACTGGTTTGTTGTTTAATGAAACCCAAGATAATTACAGCGGTGCTTGGAAGGGGTGGGGGAGTTGGGTCCCCAGGACTCTTCCCCCCTCTCGCACACACACTCCCTCCTGGGTGGGGTTGGCAGGGCCTGCAGAGCAGCAGAACTGGCAGTAAACCTCCTGCTGAGCTGCATGGGGCAGTTCCCCTCTTGAAGCTCTGGCCCCCGGCTCTCTGCAGACTCAGGCAGGTGTTGATGGGACCATTAAACCCAGGGCATGATTCTGAGCTTTTCTCCTCACACATGAAACCAGGAAACATGTTTTTTTTAATGCAAGACAAGAGTCTGCTGGGCCCCCGAGCACAGGCCTACAGTGTCTTGACCTTAATACTGCCCTCTAGCAATTTATGTCATTCCCAAGTGACCTTGGATGGGCTCAGAAAGGAGGTATCTTTGGAGGGAAGGTGTCTGTTGTTATGCTTCTGGCACACACAGAGAGCGATATAAACATAAATCCTCTGGCTGGAAGGCTGCAGTGTAACATGGCTTTATTGCTTAGAATCCAGAACGACAACATACAAGGACCCAAAACAGAGAGAGACAAAGCGGGCTGCTCTCTAAGGCAGAGGCCTAGGTCATCCCACCTTGCTCTAGGCTGCTCTCTGTACATCTGCCTGCTGCTGGACCCAGCTCACACACTTCCCTATAAAGCCCACTGACTGCCAGCAGAACCAGGAAAACCCCCACAGCATTTACAGTGACATTCAGTTTTCAAAGCACCACATGCATGATGGATGGGCTTGTAGGGAGCTGGAAGTGAAAAGAAATAGATTCACAGATGTTAAGGCCAGAAGAGCCCATTATGTCCATCCAGTCTGACACTGTGTGCATAGGCCAGAGAATTGATGGCAGGATGTCTAAGGCTCTGAGCAGAGCTGAGACAGCTCCTTCTGTCCCACCGTGTACCTTGCTGTCATAACTATAAAGGGAAGGATAACAGCCCTCCTGTGTACAATACTATAAAATCCCTGCAGGCCAGAGACATCAAAATCGTTTTACCTGTAAAGGGTTAAGAAGCTCAGATAACCTGGCTGAGTCCTGACCCAAAGGACCAATAAGGGGACAAGATACTTTCCAATCTTGGTGTGGGGGGAGGCTTTTGTTTGTGCTCTTTGTTTTTGGGGGTTGTTTGCTTTTGGAACTAAGAGGGACCGGACATCAATCCATGCTCTCCAAATCTTTCTGAACAAGTCTCTCATATTTCAAACTTGTAAGTAACAGCCAGGCAAGGTGTGTTAGATTTATCTTTGTTTTCTCAATTTGTAAATGTTCCTTTTGGCCTCTGTTTGCTGTAACTTTGAACCTAAGGCTAGAGGGGGTTCCTCTGGGCTCTTTGAATCTGATTACCCTGTAAAGTTATTTTCCATCCTGATTTTCCAGAGATGATTTTTACCTTTCTTTCTTTAATTAAAAGCCTTCTTTTTAAGAACAGGATTGATTTTTCCTTGTTTTAAGATCCAAGGGGTTTGGATTGGTGTTCACCAGGGAATTGGTGGAGGAGTCTCTGAAGGCTACCCAGGGAGAGAAAGGTTTTGTGGGGGAAGACAGAGTTTCCCAAATGACTCAAACTATTTGGGTGGTGGCAGCAAAAGCAGATCTAAGCTGGTAGTTAAGCTTAGAGGTTTTCATGCAGGTCCCCACATCTGTACCCTAAAGTTCAGAGTGGGGAAGGAACCTTGACACTTGCTATAAAATCTACTGATGTGATGGTCTCCTGTTGATATCAAGGGTTGGGGAGCAGGCATTTGACAGCACCCCCTGGGGTCTGTGATAGCCACTGCGAGCCCTGTCTATATCACTTGGCAGCATCACTTACAGAGGTGGGTGACTTCTGGCCAAGCCGACCCTGTAGAGAGGTGCCCAGATGGAACCACTGGCCAGGGTGTGAGACGGGTCCCTTCTGTCTGTCTCTTTAGTTCACACTGTAGAGCCTCATGCCATGAACTGTGGAGAGCCCTGGGTCACGCATCTGCTGTGTTATCCAAGGTGGTGTCAGGCACTGAACCAGGCCACTTCTGCAGGAGTGGACAGCAGGATGGGTACCACTGGGTTACCTTGGAAGAGGCCCTGCTCTGCTGCAGGCTCACCCTGCACTGGTATTGGGGGGCATCTGCACCAATGGATGGTCAGAGAACCAACAAGGGGAGGAAATGGAGGCGGATACACAGCACGTCGCGGTGATGGAAATTCCTAGTGCCAGGCCTGGGCAGGTGGCAGAGCAGCCTGGGAGGGGTGAAATCCTCTCCTGTCCCTGGGGAGCTGCTCTGCCTGGGAGCAGAGTGGGTTGGGTCAGACAATGGATGAGGCATGTTCCTTGCACTGCCGGCCCCTCATGCAGTCTGGGGAGGTGTTAACCATCCCTGCTCTCTCCTTACAGATCCCTGCCCGGGATGTCCCCATGGCGATGCAGTGGCAGCTGTGTGTGTGCAGCCTGGGCATCTTCCTCTTGGCGTCATGTTCTCTCTCTGGTAAAAACGTTTGAATCTCAATTATTTCCCTCTCTGTCCCCTATGTACGCTGCCCCCTGCAGGCTGGGGTAGGGGGATCTGCGACCCAAATACACCCCCGCTCCCTGGGACCTCCTCAGTTCTGCACAGTAAAAGGGGCCAGGCCCAGGAGGCTGTGGGGAGGGGATGACATTAGGGTGACCAGGGCGTGTCCTAGCTCTGGGTGGCAGGATTGTCGGATCTTGCAGCAAGAGAGAGGCTTCCAGACCCCCCAACACTGATCCCTTCCTGTACTGCCATGGGAACCGAAGGCACCGTGCTGCTAGACCTGACCCACTGGGGACTTGGATTCTCATGGCCTGCAAGGCTGAGATCTTCACAGCTGCCTAAGGGAAGGGAGTGTCCAGTTCCCATTGGGATGAAGGGGAGCTTCAGCATCGCCAGCCCCGAACCTTCAAACGCTATGAGTCAGGCCTCAAAAATCAGGAGATTGGCAGAAAAATCATAAGATTTAAAAAAACAAACCAAAACAAAATCACTTTTTGGGGTCTTCTTATTTCCCTTGTTTTTTGAGTATTTGGTCACACTCAGGTCATATTTTAAAGCTTTTCTCTGCAACTATTAGAGCTAGAAACTGCTTTTTTAAAAATGAAAACAGATTCTCACAGAATCACATGCCTTCAGGAGCTGGGGCTTTATGAAAAACACTTAGTATCCCAAGAGCTGGCAATGCTGGTATGAAAATCTCCTTGTTGGCTTTGAAAATCTGCCCTTTATATCCCTCCCCACCTGTAGCCACACAGTGAGTGTCAGGTGCTGTAGCTCAGTCGTCATTCCTCTACATGCCCCATGTTGGGACAAAGGACCATGGACACCCTTCAGACACAGCTATTCTAGATTCATAAATCACCTTCAAACATTTAATTTCCTCCAGACATTGATCACCAGAACAGTGAATCCTCATCTGAGCCAGTTTCTGTTTTGGGTATTGAATCCATGGAAGGGACGTGCAGCAGTCCAAAGGTCCATCAAAGACCCGCTACCCTCAGGCCAGGCATAAGCCCTCTGAGGTGACCGCTCAGCAGCCATTGTGGGGCTATGTGGATCTGAAACTGATTCATCAGAGAAGTTGCTCCCAGCTTGTAACTGAATGCCATGGGTCTGTTTAGGGCACTATCAACTGGCAGGTGGCTTCCAGCTGGGACCATCCCTTGCCAACAGAGTGCAAGACAGGAACCTTTGGAGGAGTTTCCAGAGGATTGTAGGACAGCATTGGAGGACTAGCTTGTGCCAGCTGTGGTCTGGCTATACTGCTCTGCATCCACACTGAGAGTAACTCAGTTAAGCTACACATGGCTCAACCTTGGGAACCTTCTGCTATGAGCAATACACGACTGAGGGAATTTTGTTTAGCTCAGTGATGCCATCTCCTCTCACTCACTGTGTGTCTGTACGGCTGGACCCTGACTCAGTGACGCCCTCTCCTCATTCCTCTCACTCACTCTGCTCCTGGGGTTGTCTATTTCAGAGAAGTTCTCCCTGGCTGGCTCCCCGCGCCCCGTGGTGGGGGTAGTTGGCCAGGATGTGGTGTTACCCTGCCAGCTCTCACCCCCGGCCCGGCTGCCCAGCATGGAAGTGCTGTGGAGGAAAATTGGAACAGTATTTATCACGGTTCACAAGTACTTGGATGAGGGTTCTCAGGACCTGCCGGGGAAGAGTTACCAGAACCGGACAGAGCTGTTCCCACAGGAGTTTAGCAGCGGGAACGTCTCCCTGAAGCTGAAAGGGCTCCAAGGGGCAGATGCTGGGACATACCATTGCTTTGTGAGGAACCCAGAATGGAGCCAGGAAGCCACCACTGAGTTACAGGTCGCAGGTGAGATGCGGCACTAAGGGGCACTGTGTCTGGGCAGCCAGAGCTTCTGTAGCTTGGAGGTGAGGGGGGCCCCCAGATGGAGCTCAGAATGGCAGTCCTGTGCTGCAGGGAGCTGTGTGCAAGACTCAGTAGGGGGCGCTTTCCCCTCACACTCAGCGCTGACCCCACTGTGATGCTAGCAGGGTCAGTGCTGCATTAAACAACCTCTTTTCAATGAGATTTAAAGCTACAGTTCTCAGCTCTCATGCAGTGCTGTTTGAGGGAGTGGGACCCATGTTCTGCCCATATCCCAGCTCAGGTGATAATTATGTTCGGTCTCCCTGAAACTCCCCCTGCTGTGTCCAAGGACTGGGATATTGTTTGTTATTCCCTGGGCACTGACCCCGCGTTCAGTGCTGCACAAGGACAGTGGAAGGGACGGTCTCTACCCATTGAGATCACTGAGTAACGTAGCCCCAGACAATACAGTTCAGAAACATCAAGCCCCAGGTGAGGGGCCCTCCTGTGATAATACAGAGTGTTGAGGTTATTTTAAATCCTCTCCCATCTTTGGTGGCTCCTAATGCAAAGGCTTCGCAGGAAATGTGTGCTTTTAGGGAGAGATTTAAATAAGGGGAGGGTGGTTGTGTGCAGCACAGGAAGAGAAATCCAAATATGATGGCTTGGCCCTTAGGCACCATTCCCAGTGTGAGAGAAGGACACCAGAGAGGACAGTATGTGGAAGGGAGGCACAGGAGGAGTAGGAGCAGTGATGTAGGTGGGGTCACCATCCTTCACTTCCTGCTCTGTACTGAAGTGCAGTGATCCTGACAGCTGCTAGGCTCCACCTCAGAAGTGGCTGCATTTCAGCAGCAGGTGCAGCAATCTCTGTGTAGCAGTTTCACACTGCACATTCCTCAGTGAGACTTCAGGGCAAAGTGCTCTATGGAAAGGCAAGACAATCCCCAAAACTGGTGGTTATTCTAATACTTAGATTCACCAAGCCAGCAACAAAATAGCTTCCACAATACCTTAGTGATTACCCAGAAGCCCAAAACAGAGTTCCTTTAAAATAATCCAGCCTTGCACTCCCACTCAGACTGCCAAGTCAAATATGAGGATGACTGAAAATCTTGTTCATCATATCAAAGGTTCTACCAATCCCAAAGGATCAGACACATTACCCACCATATTAATGAATATTTCAGATCTTACCCAAATACATGTACAGACAATTCTTATTAACCAAACTAAAATTTATTTAAAAAGAAAAAAGTATTGGTTAAAAGATTATTATACATAGAGACTTGGATAACATTTTTAGGTCAGTTTCGTGGCAGAGATGTTGAGCTTTACAGTTGCAAAGTATTCTTCCAGAATTAGTCCATAGGTAACGATCCAGATGGGACTGGAGACCTCAGTCTTGTGACTCAAACTTCCCCTGATGAAGCTTAAGCAGATCTGTGAGAACAGGATCAGGGCCCAAGTGTTCCTTTTATAGTTCTTTAGCAGCCTCTTGACAGCATGCAGTCCTTGGGTGAACAATAGTGGCTTTGAAGTAGCCTCCTGTTTCCTAAGCACCACCGGTAATTAGCTGCATGGATTAACATAAGGCACCTGGCCATCTCCTGCCATTTGCAGGTAGTTTACTACACATTTCAAAGAGAAATGAAGACAGTGCTATTAGTGCATTCACAGTTCATCTAAATGTTAACATCTTCTTTCATCTCTGATTAACAGAATACAGTGATAGACAGGAACTGTTTGGTTACATTGTCAACCTCTAACAATATCTATGTAAACACACAAAAACACACAGTCATTCTTTACTACTGTGTTTCTAAAGGTTCAATCTGGGTCAATTAGCCTGCTAGTTGTGTAACCCCTTCTAGCCCTGTGTCACAGAGACAGTGTTATTTGATTTCTCCAATCGTCAGGATGAGGGATCCCACGGAGACTTTGCACATAAGGGAGTGGACCTTTCCAGTCACAGCCCTCTATACCCAGCGGTATCTGGGGAATCACATGGATGCTATCAAAGACATGATTTCCTGATACACACACTCCCTGTCTCTCCCTGCAGCTGTGGCTCCAGTGTTCATTGAGGTGCTGGGCCCCCAGGACCATGGGATCGGTCTGGCCTGTAGAACTGCAGGCTGGTTCCCCAAACCCAAACTCCAGTGGGTTGGAAAGAATGGGCAGAACCTGGCGATGGAGATTGTGACCGATGTGACTCAGGACAGGGAGAACCTTTATAGTGTTGTGAGTCACGTCACTGTCACAGAAGGGGAAGACAATGGAGACATTAGCTGCATAGTGCGGAATGGCCTGCTGGAGACTGAGCGACAATCGGCCATTCACCTCTCACGTGAGTCCCCCCGTGCTGAAAGGGTTACCACAAAAGTGGCGGGGGGGGGTGGTGTTGGGTCACTGGAAATTGCACTTGACTTGGGAATTGAAGCTAGACAAATTCAGACTAGAAATAAGGTGCAGATTTTAACAGTGTGGGGAATTAACCAATCGAACAACTGACCACGGGACATGGTGGATTTTCCATCACTTGGAATCTTTCAATCCAAACTGGGTGTCTCTTTCTCTAAGATCCGCTCTAGCAGGAACAGAAGTTCTGGGCTGGATGCAGAGATCTGTGGGAGAGGGTCTCTGGCCCAGGTTATACAAGAGTAGCCTGTATGGTCATAATGGCCCTTCAGGTCTTAACATCTGTGAATCCATGAACTCATAACACACTGGGACCAGCTTGGAAAACAATTGTTCTCTGCTGAACTTATCTGGACTGGACGTGATGACTGAGAACTGGCAGCTGTGTGACAGTGACCATCCGAACAGCCAGCTGGTGCAGGCAGGGCTGGGCAGGCTGGGTGGAGCCGCTGGCAGTTGGCTTGTAACAGTGGGTGGAATTTGGGCAGAGCAGAGTCCTGGTTCTTGGAACAGATGCTGCATTGGCTTCTCCAGTTTCAATGCCTCCATTTGCGGCTGTGATTTGAGTGTGGAGGGGACATTTCCTTCCTGTTTATTTCTGGGGCTCTCTGAGTCAGCTGTCAAACCAAGTGGCAAGCCCCGTTCTCCAGATCCAGGATGGGACAATGCTCCTCACACACTGCACTCTCTGTTTGCCAGGTGACATCTTCCCCCGTGTTTCTCCCTGGCTGGCTGCATTCTGGGTATTGTTCACTCTGGTTCTCATTGCTACTGGAGCTTGTGCATATCTTGGATACGCAGGTAATGGGAATGTGTTATTTGCATGTTTAGAGCCCAGCCCTAGAGAGCACTGGGCTGAGGCATGGGAATGTCTTATTGTTCAGATATTTACTTTGTGTTGGTTTTAGGAAATAAACCAAACTATCAAACACACTGGGGTGCCCAGCCTCAGTTGTATTAACGTATTGCTCAGTGATTCCCTTTCCTTCCATATCTCACTGCAATGTCTGATTCTCTGTCTCACAGCGAAGAAAAAGGCCTCTCAGAAGAAACTCTCTAAAGAAGAGGCTCTGTTAAATCTTGGTAGGTCTCCTGTTCTAGTTCTTGCTCTGTCTGTTGAGATGTGTGAGCTCTGTGACTGCTTTGTGTTATCAGGGCAATGAAGGGGATAGAGCGAGGAGGTCTCTGACTCCCCACATTCTCACACACCCTGATGATAACAGGTTGGCAAATGTGTATTTTGCAGTGGAAACCCAATGTTCAGTGCGCATGAGATTGCCTGTATGTGGGTGGGGCAGAGAGATTTTGCCACTCTTACCCTGGGCAATTGGTCGGTGGCTGTATTCTGTATAAAGGAAATGACACTGCAAGGTCAATGACACTCTGTGAGATGATTTCATCCCTGTGATTGTTGAATGAACAGGACACAGGGAGAACAGGAGTACTTGTGGCACCTTAGGGTCATTAACCATTGGACCAAGCTCCCAGGGGTGGTGTTGAATTCTCCATCTCTTGATGGCGTCAAATCTGGACTAGGCACCTTTCTGGAAGCTGCTGTAGCCAAACCCGAGTTATTGGTCTCAGTGCAAGGGGAACTGGGTGAGATTCTCTAGCCTGTGATATATAGCTGTAGATGATTTAATGGCCTTGTCTGGTCTTCAATTCTATGAATCTGTGATGTTCCCTCTCTCAAGATGTGCTAATAGACACAGCAGCACTGTTTCTTTTAGAAGTCCACACATCTAATTTATTTCACTGTGAGCTTTTTTATATGTAAGAACAATGTTGGTTTGCATTGTGATGGTGCTGAGTGGTGCTGACCCGTTCTGCTGGGCACAGTGCACACATGTAGGAAATACAGATGAAAGATGGAGAGACTGGATAAAACATGCCAGCACAGTGACTGGGATCCTCATAACAAGGACAACCTGGAAAAGCCCTGAGGATCCCCCTCTTTCATCTCCTTTGCCCTCTGCCATGCCTCCTTGCAGCCACCATTCCTCCAGCTGTTCTGTAACTAGCCACAGGGGTCGCTGTTGAGTAATTAACCCCTCCACATGGTTCTATTGCCCTGCTGCACCAGCCCAAGGCCTGCTCTACACACAGTCCTGCACCAGTTTAACTCAAGGTGTGTTTAGATACCTAATTAGTTAAACTGGTTCAAGAGTGTGTGTAGAAAGGGGCTAAGGAGTGAGAGACTCCCCAGGTCTCCTGCCTGTTGGTGCGTATCATTTACCGCCAGCCCTGCTCCTGTCAAACCTGCCAGCTCCTGCACTGGGGCTTGGAGTGCGGGTGTGGGATGTCTGTGACTAATCCCAGTCATTAGGCAGTGTACAGCACCACACAGTGTGTGTCTCTGGGCCTGACTCTTTTCTATTTCCATTTCAGAGACTCAGAAGAGGACCTGGGAAGCAGGTAATTAGCTTAACCGTGGTCCCCTAGTAAATGTGTGTCTGAGCTTCCATGGTATAATGAGATAGAAAAATCACCACATACTCTGTATCGACCTTAGTCACTTTCATGATCATTTTCCCCTGCCCTGGAAATAAAAAAAACACTGAAGAGTTGGCAGCTCACATTTCAGCTTTAATAACAGAGAGTGAATTCAAAGCATATGGAATGATGGGACTCAGGCTAGGTCTACACTGCCCAATGGTTCTGATTATGGGGATGCTTCACCGTGCCTCAGTGGGGCACAGCTGAGAATACCATATTCAAGACAAACTGCTGAGAAATGGTGCAAACCCACCCCAAACTGGTCGTTATTCTTCCATAAGATATACCAAACCACTAACACAAGTACACTTCTGTCTCATCACACTGGTTAACAAGAAGTCAGAAATGCAGCTATCCCAGCCCTTCTTTCACCACCCAGACACTAGATTTAATACTGAGTGGTTATTTAAAACCAAATTTCATCAAACAAAGTGTTCTTCAAATCCCAAGAAATCAGCCACATAACCAGGTCAATATACAACTCAAATCTTACTCAATGATCCTGCTGTTGCCAATCCTTTAGTATCTAACATCAAAGGTTTATTTAGAGGAGAAAAGAAAGAGGAGAAAGTTATAATGGTTAAGGAAAACAAATACTGTGATGGATTGGATCACAAAACCCCCCTTGGGAGCTGCCAACCGATGTGCCAAGACTACTTCTATCCCTGTTTTCCCTGTCAGCTCAGGACTCCAGCACCCAGTCTTGCTGAGCCAAACACTCCCATCTGCTCCAACACAGACCCAGTGTCTGAATTACTTGCCCCAAAGCTGCAGGTTTACCTGAAAACAGCTCACAGAAGTGTGCTTGTCTTTAGCACCCAGATGCCCAACTCCCAATGGGGTCTAAACCCAAATAAATCCATTTTACCCTGTATAAAGCTTATACAGGGTAAACTCATAAATTATTCGCCCTGATATATACAGTTGTTAGCGCCCCCAGGTATGAATACATACTCTGATTTAATTAATAAGCAAAAGTAATTTATTAAATACAGAAAGTAGGATTTAAGTGGTTCCAAGTAGTAACAGACAGAACAAAGTAAGTCACCAAGCAAAATAAAATAAAATGTGCAAATCTATGTCTAATCAAACTAAATACAGATAAGACTCTCACCAGCTCCAGAATGCTCCCTTTTACAGCTAATCTCCTTTTAGCCTGTGTCCAGCAATCACTGACACCCCCTGCAGTTACTGTCCTTTGTTCCAGTTTTCCTCAAGTATCCTGGGGGGTGGAGAGGCTCTCTCTTTAGCCATCTGAAGACAAAAATGGAGGGGTCTCCCACGGGTTTAAATAGACTTTCTCTTGTGGGTGGAGACCCCCTCCTCACTCCTATGCAAAGTCCAGCTCCAAGATGGAGTTCTGGAGTCACCTGGGCAAGTCACATGTTCATGCATGACTCACAGTCTTTGCAGGCAGAAGCCATTGTCCACATGGTATCTTGTATGTCTCCAGGAAGTCTTCTTATGTGGATTGGAGCATTCCAAGATGCATTTTTCCCCAAGTGCTTCCTGATCGGGTACTTAACCTTGTGAATTCCTTCCTAAAGAAGCTTACCAAATGCCTCACAAAGCTTACTTAGAAATCAAGCAGGCATACAACCAATATTCTTAACCTCAAGTACAAAATGATATATGTGTACAAATAGGATGAATAGATATAGTAGACCATAACCCTTACAGAGATATGTTACATGGCACAGGCAGCACAAAACATATTCCAGTTATGTCATATTCCCATAAAGCCTTATGGGAGGTACCGTCATAAATACATACACTCATTGCAAAATTCTTGGATCAGGTTTGTAGCAGTGGTGGAATAAACTGATGGCTTGTAAAAGACTACCAAAAGACTGGAAGTTCCTCAGTCCATTGCTTTGAATGCTCTTTTTAATGTAAGTCCATAGTCCAGAGATCAGGGCAGGAAAAAGGCCATTTGGAGATGCTTATGGTTTTTTTATATATATATATATATCTTCTCCCATGTGGAGGGAAAATTTTCAGTCTTCATTCCTGGAAAAGTACAGGCACAAGATGGAGTCCAGGTCACATGACCAAGTCACATGCCCTTTCATGCTTTGATGAGTCATAACAGGAGCCATTACCCATATTCTGGCTGAAATGTCCTCAAGAAGGCCCACCAGCTGGGAATAAGCTTCCTCTATGGCCCATTGTGTTAGTTAATGGGCCATAAACTTGAATGGTCCGTTCACAATGTGCTGTCCAGTCCTATCTTCCACACCTGCACCCTCTCACACACGATACATGCGAAGTCACTGGTAGGGTCCCTGGAATTGAGCTGTGCAGTATGTTCCCATGGGATAAACACCATCACTGACTGTAGCCTCCTGCTATCCCAGTCCTGGGCTCCCTCCCCTAGCCTCAGCTCTGTTTGTATCCCTCAGTTCCCATGAACAGCTTCCCTCCTATTCCAGCCCTCCGCTCCTTAGTCCTGTCCAGTTTCCCCCCCTCTTAGTCTAAGCCTGGGCCCCAAATAAACAGAGACTCCAAACACTGCTATGTTCTGTATGGGCTGTGTGAGATGCACTCTGATCGGCCCCACCAGCCACATTGTTCTCACAAGAGCTGGGGCAGGACCTTGACTGCACGACTTTAGGGGTGGACAGTAACCCCAGTGCCACACAGCCCCACGGACTCTTCCCCAGCTAAGTTTCTTCCAACCACTGACCCTAGAGTTACACACTTTTGCAGACTAGCACCACAAAGTGATTGCCCGACACAGAAATAGGAGATCTGATGCCGGGTGACAGGCTGCAGCAGTGCAGGCTTCTCTCTTCATAACACATGTTCAGTTGTGATGCTCCCTCCCTTCATTCCTGTTAGTGTCATCAGTGGGGGATGCAACCCTCCCTACAATAACCTGGGGAGCCGCCCCCCCCCCATAATTCCTTTTTGGGTCATGAGTCCTACAATTACAACATGGTGAAATTTCAGATTAAAATGGCTGAAATAATGAAATTTACAATTTTTAAAATCCCATGACCATGAAATTGACCAAAATGGACTGTGAATTTGGTAGGGCCCTACTCCTTTGGTACAGTAATTCCTCCCTTAACATTGTAGTTATGTTCCTGAAAAATGCAACTTTAAACGAAATGATGTTAAGCGAATCCAATTTCCTCATAAGAATTAATGTAAATGGGGGGTGGGGGGGTTAGGTTCCAGGGAAAAAAAATTCAACAGACAAAAAACTATATATTATATAGATATACACACATTATATGTTTTAAACAAACAAGTTAATACTGTTCACAGCTATGATGATTGTGAAGCTTGGTTGAGGTGGTGAAGTTAGATGCTTCCAGGGAGGGATATTTCCCAGGGAATGCCTTGCTGCTAAATGATGATCTAGCACTCCGCTGAGCCCTCAAGGGTTAACACATTGTTGTTAATGTAACCTCTCACATAAGGCAGTACGAAAACGAGGGAGGGGAGACAGCATAGCAGACAGAGACAGACACACACCTTGTGTGTGGGAGAAAGAGAGAGATGCACACTGCCCCTTTAAGTAAGCCGACCCACTCTTAAGTGCATTGTCTTTTTAAATGGATCAGGAAGTTGAGACAGCAGCTGTTGCCCCAAGCTCTCTCTGTCTCTCTCCCTCCGTGTCCCCTCCCTGCTCTATATTGAGAAGGAGTAAGCGAGGTGCAGGAGCAGGGGGTGGGGGGCACCCTGACATTTACCCCCTCCTTTCCCCCCTGCACAGCAATCAGGAATCTCTGGGAGCAGCTCCAAGACAGAGGGCAGGAGCAGCACATGGCAGTGGGGGGAGAGACGGCTTAGCCAGTGCTTTCTTTTTCTCCAACTTCTCTATTGCCCAGTCCTGCAACGACTGGGGTAGATCCACCTGACACCCTTCCTGGTCAACCTGGGTGGACAGAGGAATGCTAAACCCCTCTCCGGTTCTCAGATTTACTGTGGCTGAGAGTGGGCACACTTTCATACTCACATACGTACGTCCAGATTGGCCATGTCTATGTATAACGTCCAGAGAAGTGTGGGAGGTCGACGGGAGATTATCCTGTATAGTTTGTCCAGAATCTCCAATTTGCTTCCACTCTTTGGAGGGCTGTTCTTTTACACCCTGGGGTCTCCTGTGGCGTCTCTTTCAGAGATTCCAGTCCAGGCCGGCTGCCTGTGGCTTCTTCACAGTGTCCCCAAACCACGCCAGCTCCAGGGTTTCAAAGGCAGGCAGTTGGATCTCACTGGACAGTTAAGCTTTGCAAATGTAATCTCAGTCCTGTAACTTGTATTGCCGTTGGTTTGCCTCTGTCTATATTTTTTTCACAGCCAGCTGGGGCCAAAAGCAGTTTTTCTTTGTATTTAGCATGGTCTACATTGATTTTTTTTTTTACCTTGAATGCAGTGCAACTTTCTCTTTGTTTCTGGACCAAGCTGAATTTCAAATTTACCCGTTCCTTTCCTCAATAGACAAACTGCTCCCATTGTGTGTCAAAGGTTTTTGGTTATGTAAGGGTTTCTCTGAGATATGTAAGTTTATCTAAATTGAAGGTACCTTCCAGTGGGCATTATTTAAATGGATTTGCACGTGTGTAACGATTCCAATTCTCTAAATACCTGCAGGTTTTCGGACCATAATGTCCGTACATAAAATAAGCTGGGGTACCCTTAGGGGGTAAGAGGGAATACTTAGACTGTCCCCCACCCATTTTCCAATCACACACACGGGGGGATGCCCTGTCTGCACTAGTGGCACTTAAACTAAGGATCTCTCCCTACAAGGTACTCACACAGGAGAGACTAACGAGGATGGCCATGACCCTCCTACATCTCCCTTCAGCAAAGAGCGCCGGTTAGTCTCAGAGAGACGGCACCGCTCACACTCTTTGCATCCAGCGAGATGATCAGACTGTAAGTGGCTCACACAGAGAGGAGAAGGGGGAGGGAAGAGGGGCACACACACTCCTAGACCCAGGTAGCTTCCTCGCCGGATGAAGCCAGGCTGAGTCAGCCTACCGTGGGTCGGATCTTCTACAGATCCTCTAGTTACTGGGCTTGTGTTAGAGAAGTTCTGGTTACGAGCCAAACGACTTCGCAGAAAACTCTGGGCATCTTCTGGTAATTCTCAATTCACACTGGTGTACACACACACTCCAAGGCCTCTATTTCTAAATACCACGATGCATCTATACCTTATGTCTGGACTCAATACACTATGAGGTGGTAACAACCCCTCTTGAGGCGGTAACAACCCCTCAGCACCGGTGCATACCTAATGCATTTCCCTTATGCATATGGGGGCGGCCAAACTAACAGTTCCCCAGTACTGCATACAACTACCTTATTGAGGGTGGCAAACTAAGTCCTCAGTACCACTTTAACTAACCTTGTTGGGGGCAGCAAAACAGTTCCCCAGTACTGCTCTGCATCTGATCTTGCTGTACAGTCAATAAGTTCAGATGACGTAAGCCCAACAGAGACAGACGGTCTCCACGGGCAGTCCTCCTCCTATACCCCAATAGAGATTTCAAAAGGTCTCCTACCTCTCTTGTGGTGCCATGGGATTCAAAGGGGAATGATCCGTAGCAGCTGCCACTGTCTCAGTAGGCATTGCCAACCCGGATGAGCCCCCAAATTGTCGGAGAATAACAGAGTTCTCACTCTTTTGTTTGGGTACAGCAAATCAGATACTTTATTCTCTTTAACAGCTGTGTAAAGGAAGAGAGTGCACTAGGATATAGGGTCTCCCCCTCCTAGGCAGGTCTCTTCACAGGTAAACAATTACAGCAAGCATTTATACCTTTTGATACAGACAATGAAAAGCAACCGCAGCATTTTGTTTATACATAGGTCATTCTGATATCTTGTTTTTCTCCCTAATGTAGACTCTCAGTCTGCATTCCATATTGTTTACACATTATCTACACAAGGTCAAAACAACTTCTCACACAGTTCTTTCCCACTCGCCTCACACATTCCTTGCTTCTTCAAATCTCACGTTATTAGGGTTACAGTTAGCCTGACTCTTGCTAACAAACTGTCATGCATTGCAATCCCCTTCCTGTCAGTTCTTTCTCTGCTTCCACAGCTGCCTGGATAGCCTGCTGGGTGGCTACAGCACAGGGAACTTAGGGGAGTGGGGAGCTGATAGATGGAGCTGATGAGGGGCTGCCAGTCCACCCTGGTTCCAAGCCCCCACCAGCTAGCTGCAATGGGCTGATCTTCCTGCAAGCAGTGGACAAAGCAGGCGGCTGCCAAACAACGTTAGAAGGGAACATTGCGCAACTTTAAATGAGCCTGTTCTCTAATTGATCAGCAACGTAACAACAAAACAATGTTATCCGTGATGACTTTAAGTGAGGAGTTACTGTACATCTACTGCAGGTGGGAGCAAACGTCCCAGCTCGGGTAGCCAGACTCATGCTAGATCTGCTTCAGCTAGTGCGCTAACAGCAGTGTGACTGGGTACCAGGTTCAGCAGTTCTGAGTGGGTTTGTACTTGAGCAGCTGGCCCAAGCCGCTGCATGTCCTGCCTCCGGTTATCCTGCTGCTTTTAGCGCACTAGCTCAAGCGGAGCTAGCACTCGTCTGTCTGCCCAAACTGGGAAGCTTACTCCCAGCTGCAATGTAGATGTACCCAGAGTCTGGAATAGCCCTGTGTCACTGTGCTTGGAACAACCCTCGCTGAACCCATCATGGTCTTATCTTCTCTCCCCAGAATGTCAGGACCTGAATGAGAAGCTTGGTAAGTTCATCCACATCTCCATTAGAGCCCCTGGGCAGAGGCTTCCAGCCACACATGGTGCTGAGCAGATCCAGAAGCATCGACACCACAGGGCAGGGCTGAGTGAACAGTTCAGGCCAAAATCTGAGTCACATTTGAGTCACCACAGTCCCACCTCAGCGCTGTGAGCTCTCTGCAGCAGACCCAGGGTTACCTGCTCTCATGTCTGGATAGACAGACAGGTGTCACCCGGCCTTTGACAATCCAGTGCCAATCACATTGTTCTGATGCAGCAAAAGGCGGCCAGCCACTTTCTATTGATGACTGCGGCAGTGCAGACTCTTATGGGCCATTTTCCAAAAGGTGGAGATGAGAAAGAAGCCAGATTCAGACTCACGTTTCCATGCTTTGTGGCTAAGGCCAGATCCCAGATGTGAGGTCCAAGCAACCATAGGCTCGTCCATCCTGTAGTTACACCTGGATTGTGTAGCTTTGATGCCTCTTTAGTCACACATAAAAGTAATTCCCCTTAGACGGAAGTGTTGAGAATGTCAGAGCTGTATCGGGATCCAGACCCAAGTCTTCTGTCAAGGTTAGATGCTTTGTAAATCCCAGGGCTCCTGTGTGTTGGTGCGTATCACTAACTGCCAAACCTGATCCTATCAAAGCTACTTGTTCCTGCATTGGGGCTGGGAGTGTGACTGTGGGGTGTCTGCAACTAACCACAGTCATTTTGGGGCACAGAGCATCACACAGCTCCAGTCTCTGAGTCTAACTCTTTTCTCCTCCCTATTTCAGAAGCTCAGAAGAAGGCCTTTGAAACAGGTACTTGGCTAAACCCTAGTAAACGTATTTCTGCACTTTCATATGGTAACAAAATAGAGAAATCCCAATATACATTTTATGGACTTGAGTCACCTTCTTGGTCATCCCCCCCTCCCCCGCCCTGGAAATAAACAAACACTGCAGAGTTTGCAGCTCACATTTCAATATCATCTTTTACAACACAGAGTGAATTTATTGCATCTGGGATGGCGGGACTCAGGCTATCTCCACACGGCCCAAAATGTTCAGATTATGGTGGTGTAAATAGCAATGCACCCCAAAGTGCTGCATTGTGACAACCCATGTGGATGCTCTGGGTATGAATTAAAAGATTCCTAGTTTGCATTAACATAGTCCTGTCTGAAGAAGACTGTATTAGTGCAGACTAGGTACTGCTCAGTGCACACCAGCAGCATCCACACAGGACAGTTACACAGCAGCACTTTGGTGCATGCTGCAAATCACAATCCTGTAGGCTCAACTATGGGGGTCTGAGGCCGGGTGAAAGGCTGCAGCAGTGCAGGCCTCTCTCTAAGTGATAGTGTGTTCTGCTGTGATGCTCTCTTCCTTCATTCTCGACATTGCCATCAGCTGGGGCAATTTGTGGGCTCTGTCTAAGGGATGATCTGGGACCTGGTCTGTTGTGCCTTAATAACAGTTGTTTCTGACATGTGCTGTCAGTTCTGAGACCCTTGGCTCACTGGGTACGTCTACACTGCAGCTGGGAGTGAGCTTCCCAGCTCGGGTAGCCAGACTCACACTCACTCCGTTTGAGTTAGTGAGCTAACAATAGCAATGTGGCTGAGAGTAGCAGGGGCAGCAGCTGATGGTAGTTGCCCAAATACGTACCCAGGGGGTCTGAGTGGGTTTGCATTTGAGCGGAAAGCTCAAGCTATTGCACATATTACCCCCGACCACCGTGATACTTTTAACTCAAGCAGAGCTAGCACTCGTCTGCCTACCCAAACTGGGAAGCTCACTCCCAGCTGTATTGTAGATGCACTTAGACTTTGGAATAACCCTACGTCACTGTTCTTGGAATGATCCCCACTGAACACATGATGTTTCCTTTTCTTCTCTCCCCAGAATCCCAGGAGCAGCGTCAGAAGATTGGTAAGTTCACCCACCTGTCCAGTAGAGCCCGTAGGCAGCATCTCCCATGGTGCTGAGCAGATACAGAAGCACTGACACCGCAGGGCAGGGCTGGGTGAACAGTTGAGGCCAAAATCAGAATCACATTAATTATCCCAGTCCGACCGCAGCACTGTGAGCTCTCTGCAGCAGACACAGGGACACCTGCTCTCATGCCTGGATAGACAGACAGGTGTCACCTTGCCTTTGACAATCCAATGCAGATCACATTGTTCTGATGCAGGGGAAGGGGCCAGATGCTCTCTATAGAGGCTCGTGGGGCTAGAATTGTGGCTGGGGGGGGCGGGAACTTACCCCAGTCCTTATGGGGCACCCTGCATCACACAGCTCCTGTCTCTGTGTCTAACTCTTTTCTCTTCCCTATTTCAGAGATGGAGAAGAGGAAGAACAAGGAGCTGGAATCAGGTACTTGGGTCAACCCCTGGTAAACATGTGTCTGTGCTTTCCCACTCTGATAATTAGGAATATCACCACATACAATGTGTGGACTTTAGCCACCATCATGATCATCTCCTCCTGCCCAGGATAGAAATGTGCACTGCAGAGATGGCAGCTCACATTTCAGTACCATCCCTAACAACTGAACGTGAATTTAATGCCTATGGACCAGTAGGATTCTAGCTAGGTCTCCACTGCCCAACAGTTCACACTATGGGGGCATGAATGGGAATGTGCACCAAAGTGCTGCTCTGTAACCACCCCATGTGGATGCTGTGGGTGTGAACTGAAAGGTCCCTAGTTTACATGTATACAGTTCTATTTGAAGAAGACTTTGTTAGTATGAACTAGGTGTCATTTAGTGCGCACCAGTAGCATCCACACGGGGCAGTCCCAAAGCAGAAACCTGAAAACCACAACAACATAGGCCAAACAATGGGGCTGTATAGACAAGCCGCTAGTGAGGGGCTCGGCAAACTTCCTCCATGCAGGTCTGTGGACATATTTAAATTCTGACCTGCAAAATATCTGCTATCCCAATTCTGAGCTCCCCACGTGCACACAGCTCTGCTGGTGCCCCTCATTCCCTGCCATCTACCTCCCTGCCATGCCTTGAGCTCCTCAGTCCTGTACACTTCTTTCCCCCCCGTACACCTTCGCCCTTATACTCTAGGTCTGGGCCTCCAATGAACAGAGACCCCACCCACCACTTCCCAGCTATCCCAGCCCTCAGCTCCTCAGTCCTATTTTCCCCCCTCCCAGTCTAGGCCTGGGCCTCAATTGAACAGAGCGTCCAAACTCAACTACGCTTTGTATGGGCTCTGTGAGGTGCACTCTGATGGGCTCCACCACCCACATTGTTCCACTTGAAGTTGACCCATTTATCTGACAGTGGACAATAACTCCTGGGTCACCCAACCCCACAGAGCCCTTTCCCAGCTAAGCTCCTTCCAACCACTGACCCTAGAGTTACATACTTGCAAAGCAACATCACAAAGAAATTGCAATGTATGGTCTTCAGTCACCTTCATGATCATCTCCCCCTGCCCTGAAAATATTCAGACACTGCAGTGTCTGTAGCTCACATTTCAGAATCACCCTGAACGATGGAGCAAACGTAGTGAACAGCGGGACATACTGAGGATCTGGGCAAACCTCCTCCATGGAATTCTGTGGATATATCTCCATTTCCATCTGCAAAATCCCTGCTATATGAATACTGGGCTTCCCACATGACCACAGCCCTGCCAGTGCCCCTCAGTCCCAACCTTCAGCCCCCTGCTATGCAGCCTCGGTCTCTCACACATACAACTCTGCCAGGGCCCCTCAATCACTACCAGCAGCACCCTTCTATCTCAGCCCTCAACTCTCCAGTCCCACAGCTCTGCCGGCAGTGGCAGATTTAGAGTTAGTGGAGCTCTGTGCTCAACTTCATTTTTGAGGCCCCCCCCACAGGACCCAGCCAAGAAAAAGAACATTCTCTCTTATCTCCCCTGCCTCCTGTTTTTCATTCTTCCCCCCCCCCCCAGAAGTTTAAGGTTAACTATAAACTGACTGTCCTTCTAATCATGCCAGACTCCAAGGGGAAGTTTTTTCAAAATATTTATCCTCTGGGAATCAAAAAGTGCTTTAAACTAAGATTAATTAAATCAATCCTCTGAATATTTTTGTGAGGTAGATAAGGTGTATATAGAAATCACTTCTGCCACTGCTGAAAAGTAGATACCTCTGTGGTAGAACACAGCAGCTCTTTAGTAGAACACAAAAAGACTACACCACAATTGAAGGGCCAAAACTTAGAAGAAAACATCATATTAACTGACTCCATGCTATGCTTTGGGAAATTCCAGATCAGAACCTTTTAGCTCAGGATTTTAATGCTCCCATTACCTAAAGCTCTATATGTTTGCTTAAAAGTGGTATACATGCCATACAGAACATGGCACTTCACAAAAATATATTAAGCCTACATCCTTGTGCCAAAAGAGCTTACTGTCTGAGGCTGGCTTGTGATTGCACATTTATCCCTGAGTAACAGGCAGCATGCAGCTGTACCGACCCATGATGAGCCCTGAGTGGCACCGAGTTGGACTCAGATTCTCACTGTTTTCTTTCCCACAAATGTGGAGGGAAGTCATTTACTGCAGCCTTTGAAAGGGTGCAAATTCCTCCTGCCCCAACTTTCCTGCTTTGTCAGCTCTCCTGGCTGGTGGGGCAGAAAACTGAATCCCCCGTCCGCCTCCCATGGGCTGCGCCCATCCACCATTCACCAGGCTGCAGGGAGTGGCGCAAACGTGGGCTGGAAGACTTAGGAGGAGCAGGGGGCAGCCACGCAGCCAGAGAGAAGCAGTGGTTGCCCCATCAAAGTGCAGCTTCACTTGGGCTGGCTGTGTGACTGCCCTGTGCTCCTTCTGCATCCCCCTGCGTTCACGCTGCTCAGCGCCACACATACCTCCCGCCTGCTCCTCTGAGGCTGCAGGTGAGCCTCGCTCCTTGCTCCCCTGCTCCTCACAGGTTCTGACATCCCACCCTGCTCAGTCTCCCCCCATGGATCGGGCTACCAAAGTGCCTGGCCCACGAGCCCCCTGTCGTTGGGGGGCCCCATCCCAGGGCATCATGTGTTTCATGGTAAATCTGCCCCTGTCTGCCGGTGACCCTCAATCCTGATTTTGCAGGTGACCATCAATCCTGATGGCATTAGGCACCTCCAAGCCGGGCAATTGCGGGGAACCCCAAGATAGCACGGGGTCCCCTCAAAGTCAGATCTCACCCACCAGGCGTCAGCTGCTCCATCTTGCTCAGTGCTACCCAGGCCTCTGAATGGTGTCTTCTGCCCACACACCATACATGGCAGGTCACTGGTAGAGGCCCTGAAACTGAGCTGTGTGGGGGGTCCCCATGAGATAAACACCATTGCTGCCTGCAGCCCCCTACTATCCCAGCCCTGGGCTTCCGCTCCCAGCCCCAGCTCTGTTGGCATCCTTCAGTCCCCACCCACAGCTTCCCAGCTATCCCAGCCCTCAGCTCCTCACCCCTGTTTTACATCCTCCTAGTCTAGGCCTGGGCCTTCAATGAACAGAGCCTCCAAACCATACTATGCGCTATATGGGCTTCATGAGGTGCACTCCAATGGGCCCCAACACACACATTGTTCCACTAGGAGTCGAGACAGGGCCAGACCCCATGTCTTTAGAGGTGGACAGTAGCTTCAGTGACACACAGTCCCATGAACCCTTCCCTAGCTAAGTTCCTGCCAGCCACTGATCTTAGAGTCATACATATTTGCAAATCAGCACCACAAAGGGATTTCCCGTCATGGAAATAGGAGGTCTGAGGCCAGGTGACAGGCTGTGTGATAAATATTCTGGTGTAATGCTCCCTTAACTCATTCTCTACAGTGTCATCAGTGGGGGGTGGGGGGGTGGGAAGAGGGGTTGACCCTTGGGGCAATTTATGGGCTCTGCTTAGGGACTGATCTGGGACCTTCTTTCTTCATTAACAACAGTTTTGTCTTACATGTCCTATCAATTCTGAGTCCCTTGGCTCATTTGATATTTGTCTGCCTGCCAAAACTGGGAAGCTCACTACAGCTGCAGTGTAGATGCACTTAGACATTGGAATAAGCCTATGTCACTGTTCTTGGAATTATCAACACTGAACCAATGATGCTCTCCTTTTCTTCTCTCCCCAGAACTCAAGGTGCAGCGTAAGAATCTTGGTAAGTTCACCCACCTCCCCAGAAGAGCCCCTGGGCAGCATCTCCCAGCCACAGATGGTGCTGAGCAGATACAGAAGCACCAACACCGCAGGGCAGGTCTGAGTGAATAGTTCAGGCCAAAATCAGAATCACATTACTTATCCCAGTCCAACCGCAGCACTGTGAGCTCTCTGCAGCGGACACAGGGACACCTGCTCTCATGCCTGGATAGAGAGAAAGGTGTTACCTTGGCTTGGACTGTGCAAGGACATCACATTGTTCTGATGCAGTGGGAGCGCCTAGCTGCTGTCTATAGATGACAGCTGCAGTGCAGCTCTTCTGGGCGAGTTCCCAGAATGTGGCTCATGTTTCCATGCTTTGTTGCCAAGGCAATTGCAATCCAGACCGACATTTTCCATCAGGGTTATGCAAATCCCATGGCTCCTGCATGTTAGCGTGTCACTAATCACCAGCCCCACTACTATCAATGTGCTGGCTCCTGCACTGGGTCTGGGAGTGTGGCTGTGGGTATCTGTAAGTAACCCCAGTCGTTATGGGTCACAAAGCATCACACAGCTCCTGTGTCTATGTCTAACTCTTTTCTCTTGCCCATTTCAGAGACTGAGAAGGATGAGAACATGCGGCTGGAATCAGGTAATTGGATAATCCCTAGTAAATGTGTGTTTGTGCTTTCACACTATAACGAGATAGGACAATCACCACAGAAAATGTATAGTCTTCAGTCACCTTCACGATCATCACCCCTTGCCTTGAAAATATTCAAACACTGCAGTGTCTGTAGCTCACATTTCAGTATCATCCGGAATGATGGAGTAAATGTCGTGAAATGGACCTGTGGGAGTTACTGAGGGTCTGGGCAAACTTCCTCCCAACTACGATCTGTACAGTGCACTTTGATGGGCCCCCAAACTCACATTGTTCCACTAGAATTCAAGACTGGACCTGAACCCATGTCTTTAGAGGTGGACAGTAGCTTCAGTGCCACACAGCCCCATGGAGCCCTTCCCCAGCTACCTTCCTGCTAGCCACTGATCCTAGAGTCACACATTTTTGCAAATCAGCACCACAAAGGGATTGCTCGGCACAGAAATAGGATGTCTGAGGCTAGGTGACAGGCTGTGTGATACATATTCTGGTGTAACACTCCCTTACCTCATTCTCTACAGTGTCATCAGTGTCGGGGTGGGGGTGGGAAGGGGGGTTGACCCTTGGGGCAATTTATGGGCTCTGCTTAGGGACTGATCTGGGACCTTCTTTCTTCATTAACAACAGTTTTGTCTTACATGTCCTATCAGTTCTGAGTCCCTTGGCTCATTTGATATTTGTCTGCCTGCCAAAACTGGGAAGCTCACTCCAGCTGCAGTGTAGATGCACTTAGACATTGGAATAAGCCTATGTCACTGTTCTTGGAATTATCAACACTGAACCAATGATGCTCTCCTTTTCTTCTCTCCCCAGAACTCAAGGTGCAGCGTGAGAATCTTGGTAAGTTCACCCACCTCCCCAGAAGAGCCCCTGGGCAGCATCTCCCAGCCACAGATGGTGCTGAGCAGATACAGAAGCACCAACACCACAGGGCAGGTCTGAGTGAACAGTTCAGGCCAAAATCAGAATCACATTACTTATCCCAGTCCGACCGCAGCACTGTGAGCTCTCTGCAGCGGACACAGGGACACCTGCTCTCATGCCTGGATAGAGAGAAAGGTGTGACCTTGGCTTGGACTGTGCAAGGACATCACATTGTTCTGATGCAGTGGGAGTGCCTAGCTGCTGTCTATAGATGACTGCTGCAGTGCAGCTCTTCTGGGTGAGTTCCCAGAATGTGGCTCATGTTTCCATGCTTTGTTGCCAAGGCCGGATCCCAGATGTGAGCCCCAATCATCTGCACGGCCATGCCCTAGTTACACCTAAAGTGTGTAGCTTTGATGCTCCAAAGGGCTGTTAGTAACACAGAACAGGAATTCCCCTTCGATGGAAGAGTTGGGAATGTCAGAGCTGTATCGCAATCCAGACCGACATTTTCCATCAACGTTAGGCAAATCCCATGGCTCCTGCATGTTAGCGTGTCACTAATCACCAGCCCCACTACTATCAATGCTGCTGGCTCCTGCACTGGGTCTGGGAGTGTGGCTGTGGGTATCTGTAAGTAACCCCAGTCGTTATGGGTCACAAAGCATCACACGGCTCCTGTGTCTATGTCTAACTCTTTTCTCTTGCCCATTTCAGAGACTGAGAAGGATGAGAACATGCGGCTGGAATCAGGTAATTGGATAATCCCTAGTAAATGTGTGTTTGTGCTTTCACACTATAACGAGATAGGACAATCACCACAGAAAATGTATAGTCTTCAGTCACCTTCATGATCATCACCCCTTGCCTTGAAAATATTCAAACACTGCAGTGTCTGTAGCTCACATTTCAGTATCATCTGGAATGATGGAGTAAATGTCGTGCAATGGACCTGTGGGAGTTACTGAGGGTCTGGGCAAACTTCCTCCCAACTACGATCTGTACGGTGCACTTTGATGGGCCCCCAAACTCACATTGTTCCACTAGAATTCAAGACTGGACCTGAACCCATGTCTTTAGAGGTGGACAGTAGCTTCAGTGCCACACAGCCCCATGGAGCCCTTCCCCAGCTACCTTCCTGCTAGCCACTGATCCTAGAGTCACACATTTTTGCAAATCAGCACCACAAAGGGATTGCTCGGCACAGAAATAGGATGTCTGAGGCTAGGTGACAGGCTGTGTGATACATATTCTGGTGTAACACTCCCTTACCTCATTCTCTACAGTGTCATCAGTGTCGGGGTGGGGGTGGGAAGGAGGGTTGACCCTTGGGGCAATTTATGGGCTCTGCTTAGGGACTGATCTGGGACCTTCTTTCTTCATTAACAACAGTTTTGTCTTACATGTCCTATCAATTCTGAGTCCCTTGGCTCATTTGATATTTGTCTGCCTGCCAAAACTGGGAAGCTCACTCCAGCTGCAGCGTAGATGCACTTAGACATTGGAATAAGCCTATGTCACTGTTCTTGGAATTATCAACACTGAACCAATGATGCTCTCCTTTTCTTCTCTCCCCAGAACTCAAGGTGCAGCGTGAGAATCTTGGTAAGTTCACCCACCTCCCCAGAAGAGCCCCTGGGCAGCATCTCCCAGCCACAGATGGTGCTGAGCAGATACAGAAGCACCAACACCGCAGGGCAGGTCTGAGTGAATAGTTCAGGCCAAAATCAGAATCACATTACTTATCCCAGTCCGACCGCAGCTCTCTGCAGCAGACACAGGGTCACCTGCTCTCATGCCTGGATAGACAGACAGGTGTCACCTTGCCTTTGAGAAAGCAATGACATCACATTCTTCTGATGCAGGAGAACAGGCCAGCCACTCTCAATAGATGACTGCTGTAGTGCAGACTCCTGGGGCTAGAATTGTGTCTGTGGGGTGTCTGTAACTAACCCCAGTCGTTATCGGGCACACAGCATCACACAGCTCCTGTCTCTGTGTCTGACTCTTTTCTCTTCCCCATTTCAGAGACTGAAAAGAGGAAGAACAAGGAGCTGGAATCAGGTACTTGGGTCAATCCCTGGTAAACATGTGTCTGTGCTTTCCCACTCTGATAATTAGGAATATCACCACATACAATGTGTGGACTTTAGCCACCATCATGATCATCTCCCCCTGCCCAGGATAGAAATGTGCACTGCAGAGATGGCAGCTCACATTTCAGTACCATCCCTAACAACTGAATGTGAATTTAATGCCTATGGACCAGCAGGATTCTGGCTAGGTCTCCACTACCCAACAGTTCCCAGTACAGGGGTGTGAATAGAAATGCACACCAACATGCTGCTCTGTATCCACCCCATGTGGATGCTGTGAGTGTGAACTGAAAGGTCCCTTGTTTGCATGTATATAGTCCTATTTGAAGAGGTTTTTAAGGTCAGGCTTGACAAAGCCCTGGTTGGGATGATTTAGTTGGGATTAGGTCCTGCTTTGAGCAGGGGGTTGGACTAGATGACCTCCTGAGGTCCCTTCCAACCCTGATCTTCTATGATTCTAACTAGGTGCTGTTTAGTGTGCACCAGTAGCATCCACTGGGGGCAGTCCCAAAGCATCACTTTAGTATAACCTGCAAATCACACCAACATAGGCCACACTACGGGGCTGTGTAGACAAGCCCTTAGTGAGGGGCTGGGCAAACTTCCTCCATGCAGGTCTGTGGTGATATCTCATTTTGGACCTGCAAAATATCTGCCATCCGAACTCTGAGCTCCCCACATGTTCACAGCTCTGCTGGTACCCTTCATTCCCCACCCTCTACCTCCCTGCCATCCCACCCCTGAGTTCCTCAATCCTGTACAATCCTTTTCCCCCCTGCACCTTCACCCTTACACTCTAGGTCTGGGTCTCTAATGAACAGAGACTGTCACCCCACCCACCACTTCCCGGCTATCCCAGCCCTCAGCTCCTAACCCCTGTTTTCCTCCCTCCTAGTCTAGGCCTGGGCCTCAAATGAATAGAGCCTTCAAACCCAACTTCACTTTGTATGGGCTCTGTGAGGTGCACTCTGATGGGCGCCATCACCCACATTGTTCCAATAGAAGTTGAGAGAGAACCTGAACCATTTACCTAAGGGTTAACAGTAACTCCAGTGACACCCAGCCCCACAGAGCCCTTCCCTAGCTAATCTCCTTCCAACCACTGACCCTAAAGTTACACACTTTTGCAAATCAACATCACAAAGGGATTGCAATGTATGGTCTTCAGTCACCTTCATGATTATCTCCCCCTGCCCTTAAAATATTCAAACACTGCGGTGTTTGTAGCTCACATTTCAGTATCATCCTAAATGATGGAGTGAATGTTGTGCATATGGACCAGTGGGACTTACCGAGGGTCTGGGCAAACTTCCTTCATGCAATTCTGTGCATATATCTCAATTTCCATCTGCAAAGTCCCGGCTATATCAGTACTGGGGTTCCCATGTGCACACAGCCCTGCCCCTCAATCCCAACCTTCAGCCCCCTGCTATGCAGCCCCAGTCTCCCACACACTCAGCTCTGCCAGGGCCCCTCAATCACCATCAGCAGCCCTGCTGTCTCAGTCCTGAACTCTCCAGTCCCACAGCTCAGCCAGTGACCCTCAATCCTGACTTTGCCGGTGACCATCAGTCCTGATGGCATTAGGCACCTCCAAGCCAGGCAATTGCAAGAAACCCCAAGATAGCAAGGGGTCCCCTCAAAGACTGATCTCACCCACCAGCTGTCAGCTGCTCCATCTTGCTCAGTGCTACCCAGGCCTCTGAATGGTGTCTTCTGCCCACACGCCATACATGGCAGGTCACTGGTAGGGGCCCTGAAACTGAGCTGGGCAGGGGGTTCCCATAAGACAAATACCTACATCCCCCTACTATACCAGCACTGGGCTTCCTCCGCCAGTTCCAGCTCTGATGGCATCCCTCAGTCCCCACCCCCTACTTCCCTGCTATCTCAGCCCACAGCTCCTCACCCCTGTTTTACCCCCTCCTAGTCTAAGCCTGGGCCTTGAATGAACAGAGACTCCAAACCCTACTATGCGCTATATGGTCTCTGTGAGGTGCACTCTGATGGGAACCACCACTCACCTTGTTCCACTAGGAGCTGAGACAAGACCTGACTCCACATCTGTAGGGTTGGGCAGTAAATCCAGTGTCACACGGCCCCATGGACCCTTCCCCAGCCAACCACTAGAGTTACACACTTCTGCAGATCAGCACCACAAAGGGATTGCACGGCACAGAAATGGGGGTCTGAGGCTGAGTGACAGGCTGCAGCAGTGCAGGTCTCTCTATATGTGATACATGCTCTGGTGTGATGCTCCCTCTCCTCATTCCTTTCAATGACGGTAGCTGGGGGCAATTTGTGGGTTTTGTTTAGGGGTTGATCTGGGACTTTGTCTGTTGTTCATTTACCAACACTTTTTCTGACCTGTGCTGTTCGTTCTGACACCCTTGGCTCATTGGGTACGTCTACACTGCAGCTGGGAGCAAGGTTCCCAGCTCGGGGAGCCAGACACACACTAGCTCTGTTTGAATTAGCGCACTAACAATAGCAGTGTGGCTGGGGTAGCAGAGGCTGCGGCTCATGGTAGCCATCAGTGTACTGACCCAGGGAGTGCGAGAAGGTTAGTGTTTGAGCAGCTAGCACAAATCATTGCATGTGCTACCCCCGCGACCCTGCTACTTTTAGCGCCCTGGCTCGAGCAGAGCTAGCATGTGTCTGCCTGCCCAGACTGGGAAGCTTACTGCCAGGTACAGTGTAGATTGTCCCAGAGTTTGGAATAACCTTGTGTCACCCTGCTCAAAACGACCCACACTGAACCCATGATGGTCTCCTTCTCTTCCCTCCTCTCCCCAGAGTGCCAGAAGCTGCATCAGAGACTTGGTAAGTTCATCCAGCTTCCCATTAGAGCCCCTGGGGAGAGGCTCCCAGCCACACACGGTGCTGAGCAGATCCAGAAGCACCGACACTGCAGGGCAGGGCTGAGCGAACAGTTTGGGCCAAAATTAGAGTCACATTAGGATCACCCCAATCCCATGGCAGCACTGTGAGCTCTCTGCAGCAGATACAGGGTTACCTGCTCTCATGTCTGGACAGACAGACAGGTGTCACCTGGCCTGTGACAATCCAATGCCAATCACATTGTTCTGATGCAGGATAAGGGGACCAGCCACTTTCTATAGATGCTGCTGCAGGGCAGGCTCTTCTTGGCCAAGTCCCAGAAAGTGGAGATGAGCAAAAGACCAGATTCAGGCTCCCGTTTCTATGCTTTGTTGCTAAGGCCAGATCCCAGATCTGAGCTCCAATTATCTGCATGTCCATCCCCTAGTTACACCTGAAGTGTGTAGCTTTGATGCTCCAAAGGGCTGTTAGTAACACAGAACAGGAATTCCCCTTAGATGGAAGGGTTGGGAATGTCAGAGCTGTATTGGGATCCAGACCCACGTCTTCCATTAAGGTGAGATGCTTTGCAAATCCCAGGGCTCCTGTGTATTGGTGTGAATCACTAACCACCAGCCCCACTCCTATCAAAGCTCCTGGCTACTTGGGCTAGAAGTGTGGCTGTGGGTGTCTGTAACTAACCCCAGTTGTTATGGGGCACAAAGCTTCTGTGTCTAACTCTTTTTTCTCTCCCCCATTCCAGGGTCTCAGCAGGAGTAGTGGTTCTTCAGTTACTGTCCCTGTGGGTGCTCTACTCTAGGTGCACTAGTGCCCCGTGTGCCTTTGATCAGACATTTCTCATGGCAGTGTCCGTTCAGCCCATGCATGTCAGCCCCATGCCCTGTGCCATTGTTATATAGCAAGGGTGGCCAAAGTGCGGCTCACGATCTGCATGTGGCCCTTTTACAGTTAAAATGCAACTCACGGATCCCCGCCCCCCACAGCTCCAATTCTCCACCTACCAGTCTTGGTGGGGGAGCTCAGGGCCTTGCAGCAGGGTCATGGCGTGGGGTCTTCTGCCCAGCGGGGATGGGTGTCTTGGGCCTTCAGCCCCATGGGGAACGCTTGCCGGGGCTCGGGACTTCAGCAGGAGCGGGGCTGAACCCCTGAGCCCCAGCAGGTACCATCTACAGGGCAGAAACCCTGACCCCCAGCAGGCATGCCCTGGCTTTCGAACTTCTGAAGATTGTTGTATGCAGCTCAGAGGCTCAGTAAGTTTGGCCACCCCTATATAGCACTGCACAGGCGAACCACCCTCAGTTCTTATCTGATGCAAAGCTCTCAGCAGAGAACTCTGAAGCTAAGGGGATGGAGGGCAGGGAGTGGAGCACCCGTAGGGACATGTCTCGAAGAACCACAGTTACAGCACAGGGTGAGTGACCATTTCTTCTTGCAATCAGGTACTTGGATAATCCCTAGTAAACGTTTATCTGGGCTTTCACACTGTCATGGGATAGGAAAATCACCACGTGCACTGTATGGACTTCAGTCACCTTCATGATCATCTCCCCATCCCCGGGAAATAAACAAACACTGCAGAGTTGGCAGCTCAGGTTTCAGTATGATCCTTAATGACAGAAAGTGACTCTAGTGCATGGGGAATGGGGGGACACGAGGCAGGTCTACACTAGGGTTTATGATGATATAATTGACGTCGCTCAGGGGTGTCTAAAACCGCCCTGCTGAGCGACGCAAGTTACAGTGATGTAAGCGCCAGCGTGCACAGCACTGCGTTGGCGGGAGATGCTCTCCTGCTGACGTAGCCACTGTCACGCAAGGAGCTGGCGTAATTACGCAGATAGAAGAGCTCTCTCCCATCAGCAAAAAGCAACTTCACCAGACGCGCTACAGCAGCATCAGTGCAGCAGCGCCAATTTAATGCTTCTAGTGTAGACTGGCCCTTAGTTAGATGCTGGGCAAACTTCCTCCGTGCAGTTCTGTGGAGACATCTCAGTTCAGACTTGCAAAATCCCTGCCCCCCGTACTGGGCTCCCTGCCTGCACCCAGCTCAGCTGGATCCCTTTGTGCCCACCTGCAGCCTCCCAAAATCCCAGCCTTAGACTCCCACACATGCAGCTCTGCCAGTGACCCTTAATCCTGACCTGCAGCTAGTCATGGCATTAAGCACCTGCAAGCCAAGGCTGCAAACTGCCTCCTGAAAACCAGATCTGGCCCAACAAGGGTTAGCTGCTATGTCTTGCTCAGTGCTGCCCAGGACTCCAAATTGTGTCCTCCGCACAGCATGACCTCGCACACACCACACATGCCAGGTCACTGGTAGGGACCCGGAACAGAGCTGTATAGGGGGTCTCCATGGGACAAATACCTCCACTGCCTGCAGCACCCTGCTGTCCCAGCCCTGGGCTTCCTCCCCCAACCCCAGCTCTGTTGGCATTGCTCAGTCCCCACCCACAGCTTCCCTGTTATCCAGCCCTCAGCTCCTTAGTCCTTTCCTGTTTCCCCACTCCTTGTCTAGACCTGGGCCTCAAATGAACAGAGCCTCTGAACCCCATAATGCTCTGTGGGGGCTTTGTGAGGTGAATTCTGACACCATCCACATTGCTCCACTAGGAGTTGAGACAGGACCTGACCTCACATCTCTAGGGATGGAGAGTAAAACCAGAGCTACACAGTTCCACACAGCCCTTCCCCAGCTAAGCTCCTGCCAACCACTAACCCTAGAGTTACACACTTTTGCAAATCAGTACCACAAAGGGATTGCATGGTGCAGAAATAGGAAGTCTGAGGTTGGGTGACAGGCTGCAGCAGTGCAGGCCTCTCTCTACATGACATATGTTCTGGTGTGATGCTCCCTCCCCTCATACCCTGCAATAACAGTAGCTGGGGGCAATTTGTGGGCTCTGTTTAGGGGCTGATCTGGGACCTTGTCTTTTGTTCATTAACAACAGTTTTTTTCTGACAAGTGGTGTTGGTTTTGACACCCTTGGCTCATTGGGTACATCTACACTGCAACTAGGAGTGAGCTTCCCAGCACAAGTAGCCGACACACGCTCACTCTGCTTGAGCTAATGCGCTAACAATAGCGGTGTGGGTGGGTGTGTCGGGGTCCCTGGGGTGCAACCTGGACTGTGGGACCACTGAGCCCCCCAAATGAACCAACCTAGGTTGTCCCTCACATCATGATGTTGTGTCAAGCTCCAAGCCTCTGACAGGTGCTGCACTTACACAGCCACCCACAGGCAGGGACGCGCCCAATTGTGTTACATGAAAGATCCCCCTGCCACTCATGAATAAGGCTCAGATTTAATCATGGGTATTTTTAGTAAAAGTCATGGACAGGTCATAGGAAATAAACAAAAATTCATGGCCCGTGACCTGTCCATGACTTGTACTATAAATATCCATGACTAAATCTTAGCTGCTCCTGGGGCCCTGGGACACCAATGCTGCTATGGGGGTGCGGGGAGGCCTGGGGTGCTGCTGTTGCTCCAGGACAGTTGCTCTGGGGCTGCGCCCGGAACCAGCTGCACCAGCCGCTGCTCAGACAGCCCTGGGGCCAGCTCCCTGGGGCTGCTCTAGTAGCAGCCAGTGAGGATGAGCCCAGGGGCCGCCCCAGCAGCGACTAGCATGGCTGGCCCTGGAGGCCGCCCCAGCTGCTCAGGTGGCCCTCGGGTAAGCCGCACCAGCCGCTGTAGCAGTGGAAATCATGGAGGTCCCGGAAAGTCACATTGTCCTCCAGCTGTTCTTCCAGGTGTTGAGTTGGGAGTGGAGAGAGGTCAAGTGATGATGTCACTTCCCCTCTTTTATACGTTCTTCCAGCTTGCTGGAGAGATCTTTGCTCTGAGGAGAGGATCAGGAAGCCCCCATTGGTCAAGCAGTCTCCATTGCCTACAGTCTCTGGGATAATGGATTATTTCCTGGATGGGTGTTGATGAACTATTAATACTGTCTGGCTGCTCCTTTCTTTTGTGAGTGTTCCCAACCTCACAACATATTTCAGTAACATATACAGCAATACTTCATAACCTCACATACAGTGTTAGCACATACAATCCAACAGGATATTAATGTTCAACAGATCAAGACTTTTAAAATGATACCTCACAAGACAGACTTTGTACAAAACATAGCATAATTATATCACAGCAGTGAATATGGGGGTTCCAGGGTGCTACTCTGAGGTACAGAGTGTCACAGTGGGATAGTATGGGCAGTGGCTGAGTGTAGCCGCCTGATTACATAGCCAGGGGTCTGAGCGGGTTTATACTTGAGCAGCCAGCTGAAACCACTGCACATGCTGCTCCCAGATACCCTGCTACTTTTAGGGCACTAGGGCTGCAGTGTAGATGTACCCAAAGTTTGGAACAGCCCTACATCACTTTGCTCACAATGGCCCACACTGAATCTGAGTCACATGAGAGTTACACCCATCCCAGGGCAGCACTGTGAGCTCTCTGCTGCAGATACAGGGTTACCTGCTGTCATGTCTGGATAAAGAGACAGGTGTCACCTGGCTTTTGACAATCCAAAGCCATCACATTGTTCTGATGTAGGAGAAGGGGCCAGCTGCTTTCTATAGATGACTGCTGGAGTGTGCAGTTTTGATGCTCCAAAGGGTTATTAGCAACACAGAAAAGAAATTCTCCTTAGATGTAAGTGTCAGAGCTGAATAGGAATCCAGACCCATGTCTTCCATCAAGGTTAGATGCTTTGCAAATCCCACCCAAGCTTTGTATCCTACCAGTGTCCTTTTAAAATTCCCAATCCATTGAGGGCCACCATGGCCAAACATCAGCTTCTTACTGGCCTGGATTCTGCTCTGGGTGACACCCGTGTAAATCCAGTTTCTCTCCAGTGAAGCACATGGAGTTACAGCAGCATCCCTGAGAGCAACATTTGCTCCAGTCCCCGATACTGAGACAATATAGAGGCACTATTAGCAGAGATCTCTGGATGAAAGGGCCTGTCTCTCACTTCACACAGATGGGTCATGTCTCCTTTGGCAGTGAGGGCCCATGAACCACATGTAAAGTGATCACACGGTCGCAGAGCAGTACCCAGAACTGAGCCCTCTGCCTAAATGACAGGGAATAACTCCATCTCTTTCCGTTTGAGACAAGGTGTACGCAGAGCTAGGTAAAAGGACGTGTTTTCATGTCACATTTCAAATCGCTTGGTTCCTTTCCATTTGTCAATGACCCTCTCCCAGAACAGCACCTCCTGTGGGAGCGAGTTCCCTGCATTTGCTGGGCCCCTGACCATGTTTGTTCTTCTTCCCTTGCAGATTTCAGGAGGGCTCAGAGCTGCATGGGTAAGTGGGGCTGTGAGGGGCTGAGCAGACACTGCACTGGGGTTAGTGGTATCGGTGTTACGTAGCTGAGCTGTCAGAGGGGTGGGGTCCCCATGGAGCAGGCGGGGCAGGGCATGCACTGGCTGCAGAGCCATGGGACTAGATGCCACAAATGGTCCTGAACATGCTGCCCTGGGCTGTAAGTCTCACCCCCGGGCAGCTCCCTCGCAATCCCCCCTCAGCTAGTCCTGATACCCCCCGCATTTCTCATTGGCCCTTCAGCAATGATCCATCCCTACCCCATCAACTCCCCCAAGAGCCCCACTCAGCCCTCCCTCCACAGCCTGCAGAGTCTTCACCCCAGGCACCCTCCATACTCCCTCCCACACTCGGGGAGCCCTAACGCCTCCCAGGGACAGACCCTCTTCAGCAGGGAGTGAGAAGCAGCAAGGAGCCCAAACCCTGCTCCAGCTCCCCCCACCTCCTCACCAGCTCAGGGATCAGGCCCTGCCATAGCTCTGGAGCTCCACAGAGCCCATGGCTGGATCCAGGCTAGCGGTGCCAGTCCCATGAGTCATCCCAACCCTTAATACTCTGTCCTTTGCTCCAGCTGTTCTGTGGGATCGTGGGGTCCCTGATGGACCCATGGCTAACGGGGTTATTCTGGTTTTTCTCCCCAGTTTGTGTCACCCTGGAGCTGGTTTGCAAACACCCTGAAATCACTGTGTCTGAGGATGGCTGAAGAGTCCAACACAACCCCCAGTCTCCATAGCCGACTGGCCTATCTGGGGGCCTGATAGCCCTGGGGAATGAGAGTCCTTGTGAACAAGGATCATTATGCTTTATGGGATGAGGTTTGCAGGGGGTACTGGGAGGAGGGGTTGGGGGACAGCCCGGACTGGAAACTGGGGTGCTGAGTGAGTCTGTAAGGAACAGTGAGATGGGAGAGGCAGGTGAGACCCCTTGGGCTGGGCTGCTGGGCTCTGGGGAAGTATGAGGGGTGATATCACCCCAGGGAGGCCGACCCTGTGATCCAGAACTGGGCTGTGACGCCGACATGATTGGGGTGTATCTGGATCTAGAAGGGGGCATCTCATTTTACAGTATCAATTATATAAGCCTGATCCTGGAGATTCCTGTGAAAGGTTCTGAGAGATTGTTCCCGTTCCTCAGCCCTGGTCACACTGCGGGGAGGGACAAGTGGAAACCCCTCAGCATCTGCCCCCCCATGACTGGGATTTCCCCCAGAAATTAGGAGTTAGTGGGTCTGTTATTCAGGGAGATCCCACAACCCTACACAGCCCCATATCTCCAGTGACAGGAAGAAGCAGGAAAAAACACAGGGCACCTGCAACAGGAGAAACAACCCCAGCCCCTGGACAGCACTGAGCCCTGGAGACAAGCAAATGAGAGAAACAGCTCATGTGGGACACAATAAATCTGAAAGCATTTGCCCACAACCTGCTTCCCAAGTGGTGGAAGGGGCATAAAACAGAGCAGGAGCATCCACCACTGCAAACAGGCCCCAAAGAGAAGGGGGAAAAGAAACATCAAAACCCTGAGGTCTGAACCCCTCCCATGGGGCAAAGGGAATCATGAGAGAAACTCTCAGCACTTGACTCCAGAGGTGTCTCTGGAGCTGATTCTTGTTCCCAGGATACCTGGGCCAGGAAATACAACGGGGGAATCAGACCCAAATGCCGACACCTGGGAAGAACCTCGCCCCACAGGGAATGTGGGGAAATGGCAACAAGTCAGATGTTTCCTCCCCCTGAACTCAAAGGAAAACCACAGCAATTTGTGATAACGCTTTGACCCGACCCCCAGTTACATCGGAATGTGCTGATTGGAGGGAACTGCATTTACTTGACTGTTAAATGTAGGAAATTCAATATACACCTGTCAGGGGATGCAGGGAGGAAGGGTCTTGCTGTGGTACTGACTCACTCCCATTGCAGACACACACACTCTGCTCCTGCCAGCCTTAGGCCATGCGAGTTGTCACAGGATCGGGCCCTCTGTGTATCAGATTGGGTTGTGATAGGCTCACATTGAGCAGCACCCCGAGGGCTGAACCCATCCCCCAACCGCCGGAGCCCTCCCCTGGGCTCTAGCAGGGCTGGCTGGGCTCACAGGGAGCAGGGACAATGGACGATGCTGCAGAAGCTTCTGTTTGAACAAGAATGTGGAGAAGTTCAAATGCTGTTGGAAATTGTAGCAAGAGGGGTGGGGTGGAAGAGGGGAACCGGCTGCCACCGCAGTATTGCCAAGTCTCATGGTGTCACAGAGTGGGAATTTTTCATAATATTTTGGATAAATGTGGTATGTGCCTCAGTTTCCCCCATGTGGTACATGGTTAACTAGGTGGGGGGAGGGAGGGTGTTTGCTCTTTGCAGAGGCCCAGAGACACATGTGACTGATGCCCAGCTGCCTGTTCCTGGAGCCCCTGGAGACTCAGAAGACAATGGCCGCTGCAATTGCCTGGATATTCGGCACCTAGCAACAAATGACCATGGATGACCCCACCCACCTTGGGAACCCAGCTGGGTGTGACCAGCTGGAGGACAAAGGACGGGGGCAGGTGGGGTTGTTACCTGTGGGCTGCTGGAGGCAAAGAGAAGCTCCTGGACTGAGACTAAAGAGGGGTCTGAGGTCTCCGGACTGACCCAGATGGATTATGCTGGAACTTTTGATTCTCTGTATTAGCTAACAACTTCCTACACTGTGTTCTAAACATCTAATAACCCCCCTGCTGTTACAGTGCTGGCTGAGAGTCACTCCAGAGTCAGGGAGTCGGGGGTGCACTGGTCCCTTTGGGTGTGCAAGTCTTCCCCAGGTGTCCAGCTCAGACAGACTCTCTGAGGGGAGCTCACAGCATGATGCAGGGGTGCTGAAAGCTCTGAGGTTTGGTTCCAGGAGGCGGTGAAGCCAAGTGGCTTACCCTACGGAGAGTGTGACCCTACATAGGCTGACACACTTAAGGGGACCTCCCAGGCCTCTTTTGCGCCCCCCCCCCCACATTGGCAACCCTGCTGGGTCAAGAGAACCAGACCTGTGGATCCATGACTCATGGTATTTGCTGTTTCCTGTAAAGCCCCAGCTCATGGAGTCCTGGGATTGTGGGAGAATCTCAGCTTTGGTTTAAAACAAATAAAAAGTAAGTTTCTAGCCTGTGGCTGTGTGTGGAGTTGTAAAGTGTGATCAATGCTCCTGTGCAGCATGTCTGGCTTTACTGCTCAGTGTGCTGCATTTAATCCCTAGGGCTTGGCTATCGGTTTAGTGCAGGTTGTGATGGGACCCTGCAGCGCATTGGGGGCTGGGAGCCCTGGCAGCGCCACCCACAAACACTGGGTCTGTGCTAGGTAAAAGGTGGGTTTGCAATAAGCTGGCTGGGCCCAAACAGTGCTCTCAGCATCAGATCATACTGGAGACAAGGCAGCTTTGGTGCCATGGGTGTTTTACCTCCATGTAGCTGGTGGAGGTGAACCCCAGGGACGTGTTATGGTGTAATAACCCCTGAGCTTTGTCTGCTGTGTCTGACTGTTGTACAGGGGTCACTGCAGGAACTCAAGGGGTTAATTCAAGCTGGGTTTGGCTCCCCTCCCCCACCTCCTGGCAAACACTGCAATCAGGGGTGAAAGTAAAATGCAGCTCTTACCCCTACGGGGCCGCTCTGCCCCCCTGCGAAGGTGTGGAAGGTGTGGGGCTGGGGGATCGGCGTCCCCCAGCCAGTCCATCTGCGCTCCTTGGCCTGCGCCGCCACAGGCTCCACTGGCTCCTGCCGGGTTGTCGCTGCCTCTTTTGCGCCCCCCCCCACATTGGCAACCCTGCTGGTAGGGACCTGCTTTAAGCAGGTTCTTTAAAGTCAGCAGTATGGGCCGGTACTGGCGGCCACCTTTTACCGGTACGCCGAACAGGCCTGTACTGCCTTACTTTCACCCCTGGCTGTAATGCTCCCTCCTGAGCCACCCCACCATTAACCAGGCTCGGGAACAGAGACCTCGGGCCGCAGTGACAGAAACCCGAAGGACAAGGAGAGGCCAGGCAAAGACTGTGGGAACAGACGGCCCTAGCCCTAGAGGTCAGAGCCTGGGATAGGACAGGCTGCTTAGGGATGAAGTAGATGTGTGGGGAGCCCTTTGCTATGTAAACCCTGTTCTCTGGCTGTGCTTGGCTCCTGCTGTTGAGATCAAACAAGACTTTGTGTAAGAAGGTGTTTGCGTCACTGCAGTCACGGTTGGTCACAGCTCCCAGCGGGCAGAACCACAGGTACTGAGTCCATTAGGATGTGCTGCGGGTCAGCACAGCCAGTCCACAGGGGGCTGTAGCCCAGGACTGGTGTGAGAGAGGGGAAGGCCTGGGGGTCCCCCAGAGAGGGCACAGAGGAGCAGCCAGCCCCTAATTGTGACATGAGATTTGTGCAATAGCCCAGCTAGGGCTGCTGAGAAAGGGGGATTCTTCTTCGAGTGATGCCCATATGCATTCCACTCGAGGGATGTGCGAACCCCGACCACAGTCGCCAGAATTTTTTCCCTCAATGGGACCTGTTGGGACAGCTTGAGCGCCCTCTGCTGCCACATGCTGTTAAAACCAGTATAAAGTGCCCAGCCAACCCCACGCCCTTCAGTTCCTTCTTTCCTCCCATAATGGGTGCTGTAGCTATTCTCATTGCATTTGCAAGTTCTCTCAGTGGACTTCCTTGTTATTGTACATAGTCATAGTTAGTTTTAGCGAGTGTGAGATAATTTGAGTAAAGTTTAGTAAATTAGTTGGTTATCACGATTTAGCTTTAAGCCCTGCACCTCCTGTGTCCCTGAGCAACCTGCACTCAAGTTGTTTGAGATGCCTGGGAGAAGCTCATATTGGGGACCATTGACAGACCTTCAAGGACTTTGAGCCTCGCACAAAGTAGAACTGGGAGGCCAGGCTCAAGTTCCTGCTCACGGAGGCAGCACTGAGACCTGCATCTGAGCCAGGCTGGTCAGACTCAGCACTGAGTGCCTCAGATTCGGTAAAGAGTGCTTGTACCGTACTGGAGTCCCGACACTGATCACCATCCCCAGTGCCAAAGCACTCCTTTGCCTGGGTACTGCAGAAGTCAGCACCTTTGACCTCAGCACCTAGGCAGGCACCATCAATTCTGGAACCAGATGAGCCTTCTATATCTGCGGCACCGTGCAGTACTAGTACTATCTTGAGACTGACCACACCAGGGGTGTTTCCGCTGCCAGAGATCTTCTCTTGCTGTCGGTACCGGTATCGCCGGCAGTACAGGAGTCGGAGTTATCAGTGCTGGTGGACAAGAGTGAGTCCGCTGGGACATTTCAATATTTGGTACCATGCCCTTTGGTACTGTCAAAGAGGGAACTAGCTATGCTTGCCATGGTGAGAACCTCTCCACCACTGCACTGGTCTCCAGCACTGGTGGGAATGACACCCGAGTGGTCACCGGACAGAGACGCATCCTCTTCCAAGTCGGAGATTGGGTCCTATTCCTCCCATCCGAGGAGCCGCTTTCACTGCTGCTCCAGGCATTTCCACCCTTCCATAGACCTGGGCACAGGAGTAACATGGTGTGACCAGAAGGTCACTGGGGATCTACACCGTCCAGTGGCCCTTTTGGAATCCCTGGGGTTTTCCCCCAGTTTCCAGGCACTCTTATTTGGTGGCCTAGGAAAGAAGGGCAGCACTGTCCCATCAGGTGGCACCTTGTCTGGACTCCGGTACTGAGCCCGGTACCTAACTGGCTCAAGGGGGATACTGCTAATGCAGAAAGCGAGGAAGAGCATTCACAGCCGGTGCTGGCCTCCTCTTCCTCCTCCCCTGATGAGGCAGTCGTGGGGGAGGGGTGAAGATCACTTCCCCTGGATGAATATAAGGCGCACCAGGAACTATTAAAGAATCATAGACTTGTAGGACTGGAAGGGACCTCGAGGTCATCTAGTCTGGTGCCCTGCAGTCATGGCAGGACTAAGTATTATCTAGACCGTCCCTGCCAGGTGTTTGTCTAACCCGCTCTTAAAAATGACAGAGATTTCACAACCTCCCTAGGCAATTTATTCCAGAAGTTTTTCCTAATATCTAACCTAAACTGCCCTTGCTGCAATTTAAGCCCAATGCTTCTTGTCCTATCCTCACAGGTTAAGAAGAACAACTTTTCCCCTCCTCCCTGTAACAATCTTTCATGTACTTGAAAACTGTTATCATGTCCCCTGTCAGTCTTCTCTTCTCCAGACTAAACAATTTCCCTCATAGGTCATGTTTTCTAGATCTTTAATCATTCTTGTTGCTCTTCTCTGGACTTTCTCCAATTTGTCCATGTTTCCTGAAATGCGGTGCCCAGAATTGGACACAATACTCCAGTTTAGGCCTAATCAGCGTGCAGTAGAGCAGAATAATTACTTCTTGTGTCTTGTGTACAACACTCCTGCTAATACATCCCAGAATGATGTTTGCTTTTTTTGCCACAGCATTACAATGTTGACTCATATTTAGCTTGTGATCCACTATGATCCCCAGATCCCTTTCTGCAGTACTCCGTCCTAAGCAGTCATTTCCCATTTTGTGTGTGTGCAACTGCTTGTTCCTTCCTAAGTGGCGTACTTTGCATTTGTCCTTATTGAATTTCATCCTATTCACTTCAGACCATTTCTCCAGTTTGTCCAGATCATTTTGAATTTTAATCCTATCCTCCAAAGTACTTGCAACCCCTCACAGCTTGGTATCATCCACAAACGTTATAAGTGTACTTTCTATGCCATTATCTAAATCAGTGATGAAGAATTGAACAGACCTGGACTGAGAATTCATCCGTGGGGTCCCCACTCGTTATGCCCTTCCAGCTTGACTGTGAACCACTGATAACTACTCTCTGGGAAATGTTTCCAACCAGTTATGCACCCACCTTATAGTAGCTCCATCTAGGTTGTATTTCCTTAGCCTGTTTATGATAAGTTCATAAGGAGAGGGTGGCCTTAAATCCGGGCATAGAGAAGGAGGTAGTGAAGGAGTTCTCCCACTGCCTAGTCGATATTTGAGCCACTGCAGGCCCTTCAAAAGTTCCCCTGTCTCTCAATGACGCCATTATGGATCCAGTTAAGACTTTGAGGGAGCTCCCCATGTCCCTTCCTCTGACTTCAAATACTTTGTTCCTGCCCAGGGTTATGAGTTCCTTTACACCCATCCTCCACCCACCCCTCCAATCCCTGGTGGTATCCATTGCCCATGAGAGAGATAAACAGGGTCTTCCCTGTGCAACCCCAAAATCAATGGACTCAAATAAATTAGACTCGTTCAGTAGGACACAAAGTGGGCGCTTTATACCAGTGCTATGAGCGTGCGGCAGCAGAGGACACTTGACCTGCCCCACCAGGTACCACTGAGGGAAAAATTTCTGGCAACTGTGCTGGGGGCGTGTGTTACCCAGGGCTCTCAGAATCCACAGCAATGGTAACTTAACTGTTTCACTCCAGGCAGTGTCAGCAATAAATCAACCAGAACACAGCAATTCCATCTGATAAAAGATTCATGCATAAGCGAGCTCTATCTAAAACTGCAGTTTATTAGATTTAAGCACACACAGACATAAGCAATAGGTTTAGAACATCCCAAATATTTATCTAAAATCTGGAATGGTATTGAGTAATTAACAACAGGTTCACAGTGGTCAGTTGCTCACCAGCCAGGGAGAAAAGGTGTCAGGAAAAATGTCTCTTAAGATGGCTTCAGAGGACTGCTCCCAAGTACACTATATTAGCTCGTCTTTTATAACTAACTTCTACAAAACATATAGGTCATAGTGGCCCCTACTAAATCATCACTTTTCCTAACTTTCAATAACTACTTATCAACAAATATTCCTAACAATCTTAATCATAATAATACTTCTATATCAAAGGCACCTACATTCAAGGCTTTCCATCCACTTAACTTCCTTCAGGCTCAATTGTTGACTTTCCTTCCCTTCCTCCCATTCTGATTAGCAGAAAGTGCCAGCTAGTTTTGACCTTGACCCTAAAAGCCTGCTTTCAAATTGAGCCTTAACTATGTGGTGTTCTATTTTATTAATTAATGATGACTGAATGCCCATAATATGGTTGCAATTAGCTCAATCACATTCTGGGGTACACACCCCTCAAATTCAGGGTAACACATTCACACACCTAGAA